AGTAGGTTGCAATCGGGCCAAGTTGAGTCATAAATGTTGTAGAGCGGATTTAGCTTGATAATATTATAAGTTGTTCATGCTCGAATCAAGGAGAACTGAGTCAAACATGGCTCGTTTAATTTTTTAATAATTATATCTAATTTGTGGTTGACTTATTTATTTGAATTAGATAAACACTTCACTAGTTAATAAGCATTAAAATTTTGAATGAGTATTTGACTTTTTATATAAAAAAATTAATAAATAGTTCTTACAAATCTAACCAGATAAGCAATCAAACAAATTTTGACTTAGTATTCAAGTAAGTTACAGTGATTACATAAGATAATATATAAGTTAAAGTTTAACTTTCTTGCATCGAATAATATAAATAAATACTAATAAATTAATTTATCAAAATTAGAAAATAAGAAAAAATTGCATTAGATTAGTATGCATAACGATATGAAGTTATTATGTTTTACGGCTAAATACATGGTTAAATAAATTAAATATATCAAATTTTATTTATATACTTGAAAAATACGTCAGCACAAATCTCAAAGCGATCCAACGGCCAAGTCAAACGATAAATAAACAAAGGAATATGCCGACCAAATGACAAACTCTAGAAAAAGAAGAGCCCCTTGGAGCCAAGCCTAAGGGTCGAATCATTAAAGGGTCTGACAATCGGCCTAAGGCTAATCGGCTAATCGACTAATCGGTCTAACCAAGGTGTGACTATTGACTAAAAACTGATGAGGTGGATCTCGGGAAAAAGATTGATTGTGCATGTTTCATTCACTAGGATCCACGCCGATCATATAAGTTTACTTGCCATTTAATATAGCTGACATATGTAATTTACTAAAAGAAACCCCTTAGAGACTAATGATTAGAGGGCATACTTGTAATTCTAAAATCCATACCCCTATCTATGTCTATAAATAGGGGATCAATTTTTGAATAAATGTTACATGTCATTTATTGTTCATAACTATCTCCTCTTTCTTTGACGCTTTAATCCATGGGCATGCTTCCCATAAATTTTTGAATTCAACATCCTCTTAGGTGTGATGCGCGTGGAGCCATGCAGTCAACAAGAAGAGGTGCACAACATCAACAAGAGGAGACCAACCAGAGAGGCATAGTGGAAGCATGATGCGCGAGGGAGGTTTTGGAAGAATTTGTGCAACGATGATTGCTATACTTGAGAACTCAAATCACAAACCAAATGTCTGGACAGTTCACAGAGAAGAAGCCCCAGAGCTTATTCAACCCAACCGGCTTAGCATATATTTCTATTAGGTGGTGGCCTAGTGCGTTTAATGTGTTAGAAGGCTCCCGACCTAGACATGTGTAAGTCTTTTTGTTGGGAGTGTTTCCAGCTTTGTAGTTGAACCTCTCTTTCTCTTCACTTCCTGTGACATAGTTGTCATTTTAGAAAGTATAAGTCTCACTTCTTGGAGCTCTATCTGATAGTCATAGGATAGAGTTTGCATCCTTTGACCTTAGGGCTACCGAGATCCACGTGGACAATAAAATTCACGAATTGCTGACCGGAGATCTCTGAACGTGTTGGGTTGACTATCTTCACGACCAGATAAACTTAAGGTCATAATAGCTTGGGATGACAGGTACATGGTAACCCAACTACCTCTACTTTTTAAGATTACTTTATCATTCCGCTTGATGAGCCACTTTGAGCCTTGTCCCTCTTTTGACTTCGTTGATATCATCTTGATGACTTAATTACTGGTGAGCTATTGCCCGTCTAGAAGACAATGATTCACCCTCTACTCTGATGGCCCGGTGAGCTAGACATATAGGGATATCCTCGTCAAGATGATTTTTGTTATTTCGTACGCACTGTATGTCGACATGTCGCTACCCATTTGGGATGTGAGAGACTCACTTTCTGCCATGTGGCTTAGCGCGAGCTTTGAAAGCATCGAGGTATCCCCATACTAAATAACCATCATTTAATGATCTATTCTCCAGGCTAATGACAATATAAGTGAAACTCATTCTATCAAGAGTATTCTTTGATCTCCCCCAAGATATAATTAACCAGAGGGATACGCTCCTCTGGGAGACTCTTGACCCCAGAATAAAAATGTTCTTTTCTTATTCTCTGGTTATGGATGACTTATCTAGCGATTCTCTTCGTGGATGTTGTGTTTTGAGGTACTTCAATCCAATCCTGTTCGGACGTATATAAGCGTTCTGATTGTTTCTATTTATTTTTTTGCGTTATTATTTTCGTATATTCTTATTTTTGATTCTTCTTCAGTTCGAAGCATTGGTATGATTAGGGATGAAAACTTTTTGAATGAGAATTATACGAAGACAAATAAATAGACAGACTGACGACTCTGATTGCTCTCAAAAGAACCTAGAAAAAAGGAGCCAAATAATTAGTTGTGGAAGTCTCTTTAGTCACAACCACTAAGGAGACATGCAAGGGATCAAATTCCCAGGTTAAAGCACATCTTAATCCAACCATGGCTTTCATGATAAATGAAGTGGATATTAATCCAAATGTATATTAAAACTCAACCAATTTATGATTTATATTTTTGTTAGTTTTTAACTTTGATATAGTCATAAATAAACAAGGAATTTTTTTTTATTTTAAGCATTCTATTAAATTTTAATGGAATTGTATATATATATATATATATATTAATGGAATTTGATCTTCTGAGACCATGGGATTTCTTCCTACTCTTCTCTTTTTCTTATCTGTTGCTTCCTATTCTCTTTTCCTTAGCTGGTTCTTACTTAATCTGTACATGTTTTTCCCATTCTCTTTTACCAAGCTGTTTCTTCACACTCTTCCTTAATTTACCACAATAAAGTTGGGATTTATGATGGCTTTTTTAGACAAATTCTCCTCTAATATTAATTTGAAGGCAGATTTTCCTTTCTTTCCTCCATGTTTTCTGTTTTTTTTTTCAATATGCAGGAATACCTTCAAACCTTGGAGAATTGAAGATTGGATTTTTGATTTGTAATGTAGTTGTAAATTATAATTTTTTATTTATTTGTTGTCAACTTTAGATATTAGATTTAATTTTGTTCTTTTACTTATAAGTTTTAGACTATAGTGGAGGTGTATTTTTGTTGTTGTCCAATTTAAGCTGTAGTTTTAGATTGGTACCTGAAATCATTGACTTCAATAAATGAATTTTTTTATTACTTAAATAATGAGGTTTTTTTTTATTTTTTTCATTAAAAAATAATTAAATTTATTATTTTTATGATTTCTAAATGTAAATTTCAAGCCGAACTCGAGCCTAAAACCTCATGAGACCACTAGTAGTAAAGAAGCCTTGAAAAAAGCCATCATAATTTAGAGGTATGAAAACAAGTTGCTTTAAAAAGAACTCAAAATAATGATGATGATGATTGATGATAATGATAGTGATATTAGTGATTTTCACTCATAAATAGATGTATTTTTTTTATTTATAAAAAAAAATACTAATGAGTTGAAACGACTAAATTTATAAATTAGCTTAATTATTAAATCTTATTTGTGTTTTATTTTATTTATGTTATTTGTGTTTGGAACTATTATGTGCGAGAGAATTTGTGATGAAAAGTATACATTAAAGTATTAGCATTATACGAAAATCAAATGAATAGATAAAAGAAGGGCTGATAGAGGGGACACCATGTGTTATTATGTGAAAAATCTAGAAGTGAAAAAAATTATGGGGTCTAGCCCAATTTAAATGGAGTTATAAGACTTTATATTTTCTTAAGGAATAGAAGATAATATTATGAGAGTGAGCGTATCGACTTGACTTTCACTAAAGAGGTGGTAAAGAATGTTGCCGAAGTGAAAATGACCAACTACAATGATGGAAGATCGATGACAATGGTGCGATGGGGAAATGAATTCAACTTCACCAATGGCAGTGGCAACTAGGCATTTGTGGTCCTAGTGATGGCCAGGCCTTGGCGATTTGGTAATGGCAGTTCGGTGACGATGCTCTGATGCTGGTAACAACATCAATCGGTGATGGTGATATGATGATAGTGGCTGAGCACTCATGCAATAGTGGTAACCACAACAGTGATGGTTGCATGCATGTGGTTTGGTGACGGACATGTGATGATGGTGTGACAACAGTAGGAGCTGGGAGATATTGATCCAACGACGATGAAAGTGGTTCAATGACTACCATAACTATAGGGATCGAAGTATAAATTGGCAGAAGAACTGACTGTCACAAGTGCATCAATTTTTTTGTCTATATTTGTAATGGTTATCCAACAATATTTAAAACTAACGGTTTCCTAATGACTCTGTCCATGGGTACTTATCTAATTAATAACAGACGAGCTTGAAATATTAACCGATGCGTGAATCAGGCAGTCGTTAACAAAATAAAAACCGATGATCAATGACTGTCGGAAAGTTATCATAAAGGTTTATAATACTGAACAGATGACCTAAATTTTTCATTTTCCCTTTGCTTGCCTGCGCCTTCAATTTCCTTTTTTTTTTTCATAGTCCATCATTTCTTGATTGTTATAAAATCATAGGCATCTCAATTCGACTGTTCTATAATTTCTTTTACTTCAAATATTATATTTATACATATTGAATTTGACTATTTTGGATAAATTTTAAAATGAAATTTGGTTTTCAAGAATTTTGATGAAGTATCTCATCGTAGCATGTGTAGAGTAAACTCTTAGATATTTCCATATCTAAAACCAAAAATATAAAAGATAATCTAGCACAAAATTCTTATGTATTTATGTTTCTCACATCTAAAATCCTTGAATTAAAATGTCTGTTTCACTTTTAAAAATTAATAATAATAATGCTATTTTAATTTGATATTGAAAATTTGGAGTATTACATGTGTAAAGATGGAAGTTTAGGAGCATTGTGTTTTATGCATGTAAATTCCCCTAGAATCATTTGAACAAGTATAAATTTTCTTACTGCAAATGTTTCATATAATGCTATGAAGATAAACTCTTTTAGCCTGCAATAAAAAGATAAATTTTTATTCTTATTCTCATGTAAATTGCCCAAAACGAAATAGCCAAAAGGTCCCCCACATCATTCTCATCCTACCATTAAAGAAGCCAGCTTGCCAAACAGCTCTTCTTCCCCATCTCCATTTCCATACCCATGCCCACCAGAAAAAAGAAGCCTTTTTTCAGGTGCGTAAATGGGCAATTGTCAGACGAGGGACGTGGTGGCGGCCGCAGTGATTCAGCACCCCGACGGCAAAGTCGAGAAGCTTTACTGGCCGGCCACCGCCGGCGAGGTGATGCGAAACCACCCCGGTCACTACGTCGCCTCAGTTACCTTTCACATCTCCGGCGATGTGCGCAATACACAAGGAGCTGTCAGTGGTTCTCGCCGGCTTATTTGTATGCGTCTGCTTAAGCACAAGGATCTGCTCCTTATTGGCAAAGTATACCGCCTTGTCACCTCGCAAGGTCGCTCTGGCATTTTACTGTATAGATTTAGTTAACAGCATTAAAAAAAATTGATTTTTCATTGTCTTTTTTTGGAATTTCAGAAGTCGCAAAAGCACTGCAAAATAGGAAGCAAGAGAGGTTTTTGAAGGTCCAGGCAGAGCTGATGAAGCAAGAACAGCAGGGGGCAGGTACTGACGGATGTGTTCAGGTATTTTTTATTTTATTTATTTATTTATTTTTGTAAAAAAAAGCTATTTTGTTCTTCGTCTCTTATCGAAAATTCCCCAAGAAGGGCCATGAAAGAAATTGATTTAAGCTGGGTGTTAGGAGCCTTTTTATTAGAGAAAGTATTTAAACTTAGAGAAAACTTATATATAATATGAAATAAACATATTATCTAATAAGTTTATAGGTTTATTTTAATGTATTTGATTGAAATCAAATACGTTTAAATGAAAAGAAGGGGAAATTACATCATAGCACTCGAAACTTGGTCATTTACAGAACTAGTATTTTCTGTCATTTGTTCTTCATATCTGCTCTGATATCAGAATTGATAGTAAAACACTAACCCATATATTATATCAAACTCTTAATCGCTTGGTCGCTAGCACGTCATGACTGGCGTAGAGAAGGTCACAATGTTGCTGGTGAAGGTCACTAGCAGAGGTTGTGGAAGTCATTGATGAAGCATGAATGGATGTCCACCAGCATTTTGGTGGGGGTTTAGAAGTGGATAGCTGTCACATAAGAGAAAATATTTCAATTTGGTAAATTGGATATGCATTTGACGACACCACACCACTAAACGCAAGACATGGTGCGATCCATTTCATCGTCCGCACGTCCAGATGATAGACGTAATATTTTTTAGTCACATAGGAGATGTTTCATGAGCATCAATCTTGTGACATTTAGAATTCTTCTAAATTGGATGGATTCCATATCCCTTGGCAAATATTTTGATTTTTTTTCTACGAAGCATTTGAAACCCCTTCACAAATATTTCTACATACCACTTTGCATATGCATGCATGAAAGGTGGATTTCATTATTTAAAAATAACAGTAGTGATATTTTTTTATGGGATAAGAAAGATTTAGGTGGTAAACATTCATATATATATATATATATTATATATATATATATAGACGTTAGATTTGTAGATAGATAGGAATTGGGCCGTATGTATTTAGATTGTCCCAATTAAAAAAGAAAGAAATCTTATATAAATAAGTGTGGTTATCAGTACATTGATTCACGTAGAGCTTAACTCAATTATTTTTAGTGGGACAGTTATGTACATACCACCTGAAACTTGTTATTTACAAATTAATCATCCTCTATCATCCATTTTTCAAATTCACACTCAAATATTAAAATTCATGATAAAAACCCAGTCATGCATATTTTTCATTCTTATCAAATTCTCAATAGTTAAATATGCAGGCTCTATAGTTCGAAAAAATCTCATGGATGTTTAATTAGAGTGCATGGCCAAGCGTGTTTGATATGTGCAGTAGAATAAGCATAAATCACTTGGTGGATTTGATTGTTACAGGCGGAGAAGAATGAGACAGAGAGGCAGAGAAACTCTCGCCATTGGCGGCCTTCATTGCAGAGCATCTCAGAGGCTAAAGCTTTACAATGAAAGCAGATTCAGCTCTCCACCTCCATTGGTTATAAAACGCACGCATAAATTTGCTGCTGTCCTAAGAGTATAGCACATGAATCTCCTCCTCCATTATTAGAAGCCAGAGTTGTGGTTTGGGGTACAAAGTGTAATGAATACTACTTCTGATTTTGTAATGATTTTCTCAAGACATTTAATGGAGTTGGAAGGTTATATACTTTTCAATATGAATGTGAGCAATTAAAACTGCAGTTAAAGCTTGCTGAAGACTTTCGACGGGTTACAGATTGTCCAGCACCTGTCAACTAGATTTTGAGGCTGTAAATGAGCTGCGTTTGCTGCTGCAGCAGGCAATATCAGTAATATGATAATATATCAGCAAGTTGGAATATAATATAATAATATATCAGCAAATGGGAGTTAAGGATTTTTACAGCACTTTTTTCACATGAAAATTAATTTTTTTTTTCTCGTACAACGAATTAGAAAGAAAAAAAAAAACAGTTAAGGGTATAGTTTTTTATTATAAAAATCCGCTCATATTATTTTATCATTTAAGATATGTTTGGGGGCAACTTATAAGTGCGGGCGTACTGTTTGGTTCGTGCGTTTCATCAGTTTATCCGAAATTGTGTTTGAGTTTTGACACTAAATATAGGTCGCAGGTCGACCCCTACGGCCGGCTCGTGGGCCGTGTTTCAGGATAAACAGCTTATCCTGAAACGCACAAGCTGCCCCAAATGGACCCTTATTTTAAAGAATTTAAACGCATTTAATATTTTCAAGCACTCGAATCCTTTCAACAATTATTCAAAGGTGATGATTTTATCTTTCGCACTGAAAATGAGTGAAATAATATTGTTATTTGCATAAAACATATTTTCTCTTTATGACTCATTTTGTTGCTCTATTTCATGACAGTAAAACTCTGAGTGAAAAAATAAATAATATAAATAAATAAATAAAAATCATAAATATATGACAAATTTTATATGATTTGGCGAGATCCAACTATAACCAAAATCGCACAAAGATAAGATTTAATATTTCATGAACTTCCAAAACATGTATGATAAAATGTTTCTTGAGATAAGGATAAGAAAAAACTGCTCAAATGAATCACACATCTAATTGAACAGAGAAAAATGAAAAGTGAAAGTAGAAATTTTATTTCATCATTTTTCATATAATTATAGACTCATTCCTAAGTTAACTAATATGATTCACATAAAACAACCAAATTTGACCGTAAAGATTTTTGTGCAATACTATGGAAAACAAAATGACACAATAAGCAAACAATCAAATACGGTGTGATTTACGTGAATCGGAGCAAATCCACCTACGTTCTTGGGGAGGAGTTATTTCGCTATCAACAGGTGGGGAGAGAAAAAAAAAACGGTCAAAATAGGGTTACAGCTCCACACATAAAAATCAGCTTTAATCTATTTTATAAATAACAGGGGATTAGGATATACAACTTAAGAATATTTCTAATATACAATATATTCTATAATTAGATCTCGTTTACTAAGGTTACCTAAAATAGAAAAATCAAGTGATTAGATCTTTTTAATTAGGAAAAATGATCTTAATTTATTAATACAAATGAAAATATGACACTCAATAGGACACAATGGAGGAAAAGGACTCACCCACTTAGTGGGATAAAAGCTTGTCATTGTTGTTGTTGTTATATTCATAATTTTTAATATACAACCATTAGATTTGATACTTCCATAACAAAGATTTCAAAAATTAACTAAAAATAGTTCTCACTAAAAATCCACCGCCGACATAAATTGCACATCAATAAAGAACATGAGTTAGGCACAACTCTAAATAAATTTACTCATAATTCACTCATCTTAATCAAACATTGATTTGTGCTAGAAGAAGTATGTGCAGGCATACTAGACGGCAGATCACTCGGATCATGTTAGTGAATCAGTCTCGGTGGTGAACGGGTCAACGGTTAAGCCAGCGGGCTGACGAATTGGAGGTCACGCAGGTTAAAGCAGACCAAGTTGGTTTGGCTATTCTAGTCGATCTGATAGTGGGGAGTTGTTGGGCCAACGATCCAAGTTGTGGATTGCATGGTGATCTGTACCACACCATTGCTTACAGTGAAATGTGCGGAGCTAGCCAAGTATATATTGTACGGTATCAGCCACACGAAATTAAACATATTCATGTAACAGTGCGACTAGATTGTTGATTGGGCCGAATCAGATGACAAAATGACAGGTCAAACGTGAAAGCACATGAATCATGCGTGAGAACTGTCCGATTCTGCCAAATTAGACAGTTCACGTGTGTATACATGGGCCAAATAAAAATTGGAATGTTTTTAGTTTTTTTTTTCATTTTAAGCCTATAAATGAGCTAAAAGTGGAGAGAGAATTTGGAGTCTCCAGCCCCCTTTTGTGCAATCAATGAATCTCCCTCGACATGCTTATTAGATTCTCCCACCTATTTTTGTGCGATCAGTAAAGCTTCCTTATCCTGGTAACTGGAGTCTCCTCCCTGCATAATCAACAAAGCTCCCTTGGCCCTTTAACTCGAGTTTCTCGCCTATTTTTGTGAGATTAGTTAAGTTATTCAGTATGTTAACTAGAGTCTCTCTGCCTATTTTTGAGTGATCAATAAAGCTCCCTCAACCCATTAATTGGACTCTCCCCACCTATTAGTGTATGATCAATGGAGCTCCATCGACCTAGTAACTAGAGGGAATCTTTCACGTTGCTTTTGTGCTTTCTAGAAGATATTTTTCATACTGCTAGTGTGCTTTTTGGAAGAGATGACTGAGGGAGACTTAGACATGGAAGACTAAACTTGCAACGATAAACCACGTCATTGAGGAGCACTAGAAGATGAATAACCCTTGTGCAGTACACATGCTTTCGTCTGTAAATCAATTAGCACAGTGTCATCATTACTTATTCTCCATCGTATTATTCCCCTCCTAAGAACATTAAGAGCTAATGAATACTTGAAAAGAATTGAGTGAGACACAGGTGAAAATAGTTAAAGTGTGGAGTATTTATAGGCTTTTCAAATGAGGATGTTAAAGTTGATTGATGTCTTTATTTCTAACATCCTATTGCAGCCTGACAAGATATTTATACACAGTGATGCTATGTTTTTTTATTCATGTCTTTCCTTTGCTTGATATTATGGTATTGGATTGCTCATGCATCTTTAGATGTAGCAAAATAGTTTTAGCATCACTTTTGAGGCTGGCTTTGACTTTCCTTCTAAGTTGTTGTTAAACCATCTCTTGGCCTGTCACAGAGTTTTGTCACCCAACTTATAAGCTGATGTCGCCTGACTTCTGGGTTGTAGTTACCACTCTTTTCAAATGCTTTTGCCTCACTTCTGGGGCGCTATTGCCCAACTTTTGGGAAATCATTAGCCTATTTCTAGGGTGATGTTGATGCCTTCATCTCTGTGGAAGAAGTATATTGGAAACAAGTTTTTCTAAGACTTATGCCTTATGAGAATCTTTAGCTTATCAAATGTGTACAAGTCTGCAATCAAAGTAAGCACGTGCACTTTGTAAGAAAAAGGCTTGTGTCTTATGAGGTGTTCAGATGAATCTGTAACTTCCAAGATGTGCATTTTAAAGTTTTTTTTTATGTATATATAGACCTTATGAGGTATGTAGCATTTATGTGATTTTTGAGTGAAAACTTCGTCAATCACTTACTCTCATTGAGTCTTTCTAGTGATAAATATATCCCCTACTAGCTTTCTATTGAGATTTGCTTTCTGGACTCTTTTTCTTTGGGTATGGGTGGAGACATTGTCTACCACTTGCCTTCAAGGGGTCTTTCTAGTGAGGAGTGTATGTACTACTAGTTTTCCCTTGAGACTTACCTCTCAGTCTCTTCTTTCAGGGATATGGGTAGAGACCTTGTCTGCCACTAATAATATTCGACCTTTACTAGGTTGTAGTCAAAGAACGTCTGCTTGAAGTTATAGCCCATGATGAAAGAAGTCAATGGATCTTCAGTGCACTTACAGATTTTATTTATTTAACTCATAATTCACTTGTATTAATCAAATATAATTCAAAATCGAAGTAAATTTTGAGCAAACTCTCATGTATTTATAGCTAATCATATATACTGAATCACTGAAATGATGTACACAAATATCTATCCATATTTTTAATTTATTTTGTTCTACAAAGTATTAAATAAATTAAACCATGTATCATTCTTATAAATTTGGTTATGGAATTTAATACTATTTATCTGTCTAAACTCACATTTTGATTTAGCATCATTGAAATCTGTATTTATTAAACACACACAGAAATTTTCAGTCTCTTAAGCTAAGCCTATTGCTGTATTATTAAATTTGTATAGCCCACTTGACAAAATTTGGGCTTTTAGTTGCTAGCCCAAAGAGGACCAGTAGTTTAAATGGCATCGAGCGAGTTCTGACTTGTCCAGATGTCCATGCTTCCATCATTTATAATTCTGTCCAGCTTAACCAGTTTTAAATTTTTTTTTGAATTTTACTTCTAAATTTTTTGACCATGCTCTAGTAGTAATCAGATTTTATTGAAGCCTAACTGATTATATAAATGAAGTTAATAATTTAAACGCATAATCTAATCATCAGACATACATTGATTCATAGAGTGATGACAATTGGCATAAATTTTTGGTAAAATTGAAAAATTGTTGATATATATATATCTGTGTGTGTGTGTGTGGGCGCGGGCGCGCATGTGCGCATTCTTTGGCTTGTTGGTAGAGCAACCTCTTAAGATTGTAAGTCACCATAGATTACGAATTTGAAACCCCCGTGCAAGTTATAAGCCGCCTTAGCTTTCTAAGGCATTCTTCTCCTTCCACAACTATATTAACAATCGCTCAAATCTTCTGTTTTCATAACAAAGACCAATATAATTACAAAAAAGAAAAATACTTTGCTGCATAAAGATTTATAGTGGCTTGGCACTTTCTCCATTTCTTTTTAATAATTACATGTGAGGATGGATTAAAGTGAAGGCAGCCAAGGTATGGCGTCCCCTCTTTTATCTCCAGCTATCAAAGGTATGAAGAAGCATGTAGAGCCCTATTCCCCACATTCATCAAAGTATCCTTTTTCATGCATTATCATTGCAGTAACAAAGGAAGAAAAAGTAGAGAAAAATATCATGAGCTTCAGTATGATTTATCAGCTTCTGTATGATTTATCAGC